CCTTCTCGGCACTGCCCGGCTTTTAAAGTCAGCCCTTGTTAAAACTCGAGTTGGCTTTGGTCTAACGCTTGTTAACAGGATTCTGGGTATCTATCTACTTTAGAGCACGAGCGTAGGAACCTTTCACAGGCAATTTAATCTTCTGAGCAGCGCACGTGTGGCGGCGCGGCGGCGGAGTGGGGTTTCAGGCCTGCACATCGGTCATTTCTTTTGCCCTCTGGTTGTGATCTCTCTGGGTTAAAAAGGACTTGGCTTCGGTTGTTAGTATCATTAATTTTTGAATATTTTTAATATTTTAAAATGGCTAATGAATGCTCACATTTTAGGAGATAGATGTGTATGGAGCACACAGGAGTGCTGGAATTGGTGGCATTCCAAATAAGTGTCACCGGAGACAATGCATCCGGTTTACGAGTCAGGTGCAAAGTGCTAAGGCTTCCTCACACCCCAGGTTCGTTATTAGGCAAGCTCTGTTCTCCCGTCTCCCTCGTGCAGGAGATAAAGTGTGCGTCCTGAAGATGACAGTGTGTAGGTCCTTGTGGGCGAGTGGGAAACACACAGGAAGCACCTTTTCAGCAAAGACTGTCAGAACTTCGGTTCTCCTCACCAGGGATTACTTACCCTACACAGTGTGTTTAACAGCACTGCTCACCGTGGAGAGCCCCCGGGGATACTGCGTTCCATTGCTTCACAGTTACAAATCCTGGATCTCTCGCGGTTGGCAGATCATCTGGGGTCCCCTTCCCCTTGGCTGTGGCAGGCCCTCTGGAGCACCCATTGCAGAGGTGGGCCGTCACTTTAGTGATAAACAGGGAAAATGATCACATTTTCCTGAGCCTGAGGAGTTGATGGTGCCGGCGTCGTTTTATTTGGCTTTGGGGCGGGCAGAAGGCAGGGCCACAGGAATAGGGGTGGCGAGAAACTTTGCTTCAGTTTTCTTCCAAGTTGGCCGTCTATATTTTTATGACACCGGTTCCTGGTAATTCGAGGTGCACTCGGTAAGAACTCGCAGCGCAAGAGGAGGGGAAAGGGAAACCGATTCTGCCGTTTCTCGTGGACTCAACGGCAAGTGGCTTCCAACAGCCGCATCAGGTGCTTTGCACCAGAATTTTCCCGGGCTTGCTGCACTCCCACAACATTTGCAATAAAGTTCCTGTCTCCGTTTTACATCTTTGACATTGAGGCGGAAGATTTGGCCTGAATTTATGTAATTTAGTTGGGCACAAATATAACCCATGAATAGTCACATTCATTTCCTAATTAGAAAATCAAACGATAATACAGGACAGGCTGCAGGCACCCCATCATGTTGGCCAACAAAAGCAGGCTGTGTGTGTTGGACCTCTGCAGAGGAAGAGTCAGTTGAGTTGCTTCATGAAGTTAATGAAAAGTGTCCAACAATGGGCGAATGAAAGATGCCGACCGAGGGTGCTGGCAGTTAGTTAGTGCACTAAGATCTTTGTATTATGGAGAAAGATTTGGGGGAAACCTCTTACCATCTGTGGATGAATCCCCGGCATATAAAATTCCAGGTTGGACGGGCCTTTCCCCCCCTATTGTAGTACCGGGTCCTTGGGTGAGGGAAGTGGGGTGGGGAGGCGTAGAGAGTAGCCGAAGAAATAATTAGTGAAAGGGGGAGAGAGGTTTTCATATGTTCACACTTACACATAGCTGCTTATCTGGGTATCTTTCTTGTTCAGCACATTATGTTGGGGCTGTTAGTTTGGATGCTTTATATTTTTGCATCTGGTATAGCGATATCGATGCTGTTAAATATGTGATTTGCCTGTCGCCTGCATTTTCAGACAAAGATCAAGAGGAACATAAACAAGCCCCAAATATACTTTATGTAGGTGTTTGGCAGCATGATTTTATATGGCTTGAAATTAGTGAATGGAAACTTTAAAAGAAATTGTTCATATTTTTGCAAGTTTGAAGTGTGCCGGGACTTTGTCAAATTCCCGTTAAAATAAATACGTCAATTTCATCTCCCTTCCGAATTCATTTATCTTGCTTTTTTAAAAGGTGTTTTCTACTTTACCTGATGTTTAAATTGGATTCGCTCGTTTATGCTGTTCTTTGCTATATCCCCCACGTTTTTCTTAAATGAATTACTAATGACAGAGCACTCCATCATTCCCTCTCTACAGCCACTTTAAGGAAAGCATGGTGATCTAAACCTTTTAACCTATTAAAGATGATTTTTCCCAATTGAATCAGACCCACCACAGGTGTAATAACTAATCATTTAAACTACACCTGCTATTATGTATTTTTAAGCCATTATGCGTGTTGGATAGATGATAATTCATGTTTATTGCATTGTCCGATGGATCCGTTTTGCCTACAGTAGGCTGATTAATGTATTTAAAGAAATAAGAGATGCAATTTTTAAAAAAAAAATTGATGGAATGCGCCAAGCACTGCATTGAGTGCACCATTAAACCCATCAGAACTTTGCTCTCTGACCAGAAATGCATATACCAAGGACTATATTAAAAAAGCAAGGTGAAACCTGTGCGTTTTAGTGGTGGGATTCTGTTTTCTTTCTCTGTCATGGAAAATTTTGGAAGGATGAAGGAAAGGTCGATGCTTCTATGGGTAAATGAGAGGAGCCATGCTGTTAATATCTGCTGCTTACGGCCTGCTCGTCCACATTCCCTCTGACACCTGGAGCACACACCACAGCATACAGGCATCGCCGTGTGATACTGGTGCCGTAATTGTCTTGTGCGTGGAAGGTGTAGTTTTTTTCTCCAGGTGAAGAACAGGCATTCCCCAAGCCGTTGGAGCCAGGCCAATGGGCATCGACTGTGTGGGGCCTGTGGCTGTGTAGCTGTCTACTCCTTCCTGGACTTGGGCCTCCCTTCCCCATGTCTCTCCCCTCCCTCCTTCCCCATGTCCCCCTCCCACTTCTCCTCTCCCCTCTTCTTCTGCCTCCCCTTCTGCTCCACTTGTCCCATGGCTACCTTCTCCCCTGCTGCTCCCTCCTCCTCCCCAATCGCTCTTCTGTTTTCCTCTTCCTTCCCTCCCTTCTCCCATCTTTTCATTAAAATGCATCTGCATCCATTTTGTAGATGTCTCTCAGATTTTTCTTAAGTTTGGTGCGACCAGAGGAGATGTGGTTGAGTTGCCAAGGGGGCGCAGTGTGGAGTTTTCAGGTCTAGAATCTGGAGCATCAGCTTCTCTCTAGTCCAGAGCTGGTTGGTTACCACTGCAGCTCCTGATGGGGGTTAAGGGGTTTGCAGTGCTGGACGGATTACGACCAGTCTCCGGGAACACGGGTGCATCTTAGCGTTTTATCGCTGCCAGGTCTGAATCTGAAGGTGTGGGACCCCTGAATTCATCCTCTAGGGACAACATCTCAGGCTAGCCTCCAATAGAGGGATTACGGGGGAAGATACAAAAGGGAGTTGACCTGGCTTTTTGTGTTTCTTTCCCATTTATCCTCATATCTTTTTTTTTTTAAATTTTTTTTAATTTTTATTTATTTATGATAGTCACAGAGAGAGAGAGGCAGAGACACAGGCAGAGGGAGAAGCAGGCTCCATGCACCAGGGGCCCGATGTGGGATTCGATCCCGGATCTCCAGGATCGCGCCCTGGGCCAAAGGCAGGCGCCAAACCGCTGCGCCACCCAGGGATCCCTCCTCATATCTTTTGTTGCCAGAGAAGTCTGTCCGGTCTCAAGACTAACTTCATATAAAATAGGAGGAGAATATTGTAAGTCGTATTTCGTTGGTAGTCACGGTAGCTTATGCTTGCGTCTCTGGATAGCTGCCCGCCTTCGTTTGAAGGATCTTAGAAGAGTCCCTTATATTTAGTCCCTTAGAAATGTTTCTTTCAACAGCTAAGGAGCGAAGTCCAGGGTCTGTTGACTTTACCTGTAACATGAGATGATATTATTCTTTTGGTCTTGGTGAGATGAATAATGCCAGTCACTTAGAACAGCCCCCTTTCCTATCTGGGGCAGGTTGGCATGTCCCACCCATTGCGCTAGCGCCAGGGATGGAGAGCACGCAAGCCACGTGCAAACACATGCTTCACGTGTGCTGAGTGATGCGAAGGTTAATACCCTCAAGTGATTTCCTCCTACCCCCTCCCTGGCTTATTTGTAGATATGAAGATTTCAGTAAATAATGTCATCATCAGAGGTACGGGGATCATCTGTCCGTCTGTCAGCTTTTAGCCATGAAACCCCAAACTTTGTCCTTTGAAGTCTCTTCAGGATTGAGCTCCATTGCATAAGAGGGACCAGTGTGAATGGCTGTGTGCGTTGTTTCTTATATAATCCTTCCCAGCCGGTCTGTGCTCAGCACTTTGCCAGGCTCTGTGGAGGCAGCGTGGTCTCTTCTCCTCAGACGCTTGCAGTGTAGTTGGGGAGGCAGCCTGAACATTAGAAGACAGTATAATTATGTCTTCAATTATATGGTACACACTACGAGCATTAAAGAATTTAAGAGAATAGGGAGATCAGAGATGGCTTGCTTATTTAGGGAAGGCTTCGAGGAGTTAGCACAGGCTATGAAAGGGTTGTGCTGGCGTGTGTGTGTGTGTGTGTGTATACACGATTATGCGTGTGTGTGTGTGGGGGGGGGTATGCACACAGTATTTAGACAGGTAGAGGCGGGAAAGGCAGGCCTCGAAGAACAAGAGCATACCTTGAGCACAAGTATAGGGACATAGGTTCGCATCACCAGGAGAGGGTTACCTGCCGAGGAGTATGAAGATTCAGCTTAAACAAGGAGAAGAGGAAAAGATTATTGCAAGGTCTTAAAAGCTAGGCTGAGAGGATTAGATTTGATAGAAACAGGTATAGGAAGCCAGTTAACTGACATAGCCTTCTATTCAGGTAGATTTTTAAATGTGAGAAATAACTGCTTATAAATTTGACCACAGTGGTGTGCTTATTTTTATGGACCTGGGATAAACTGGTAGGATTTTTAATCTTTAAATTGAGACTATTGAAATTTACTTTTCTTCTTTTGTCTCCCTGACCAGATTGCCACAGCGGTGAAGTTTCTACAGAATTCCCGTGTCCGCCAGAGCCCACTTGCAACCAGGAGAGCATTCCTTAAGAAGAAAGGTACAGATTCCTCACAGCCATGCATTGTGGCCTGCAGAAAGGGACGGGACACGGGGCAGATGGAAGCCACAGTGTTGCTGTAGCTGTCCCACTGGTGTGGGGGTGAGGGGCACCCCCTCAGAGGAGCCCAGGCTTCTTTCTTTACAGTGGAGCAGAGAGATGATACCGTCTGGATTTAAGGTCAACACCTTAGCCCAGGACAGCCTGGCACGGGGAGCGAGAAGAGGCCCATTGGAGGATGCCTGATTCTGGTCCATTCTTCTGATAGTGTGAGCCTGGCTCACAGTGGCTGTAGGTTAGGAGGTCAGCTGCCTCAGTAAAGAATCAGGAAGAAAGAAATGGAAGGAGGAGGGGAAATGAGGGGACTAAACGAGGTCAGGTTAAGGTCAAGCTTTGGGTCAGCCTGGTTCACGGACCGAAGTGGTAAATTACTGGTTTTATGGTATTTCTGTAAGTGAGGATTAAATGGATCTTGACAAATTCAATATTGTCCAAAGCAGAAAGAATCCCTTCTGGCTGTTGCAATTTAGGATATTTTTCTTTTTTTGTAAAATACAAAAACAGATCCCGAAACAAACAAAAAAGGGATCTGACTTTTCACTCTTTGAGCATGTAATTTTCTTGAAAGCTGGAAAGTTGTATAGAGGCCCTTCTACACCATGGTAGGGGGAGTGAGTTTCTCCCCCCTCCCTCCCCAAAACCCTTTTTCTTTAGGAGCTGGAATGTCAGCTTTAGAATTCTACGTTGTGAGCTTTAAGTCATCTGTGGCTGGAAGAGAAGACCGAGTGGTTTGGTGGTGTTTCCTCAGTGTGCTCCATGGCGTCCCACCACAGAGATGCTTGCCGGACCGTGTCCCAGGCCCACACCCCTGGGGTTTGGGCAGGACGAGCCTGAAGCTCTCCCTTCCCAGGCATCTGTTCCGAGGCAGCCTCGGGGCCGGCCCCTGCAGCGGAGCTGTGAGGGGTGTTGTGCATTTGCTGGCGGCATTGTGCTCGCCCCCCATCAGTAGGAGGTTATTACAATTTGGAGTGCGTTGGCCGGTCTCTCCACTCCGCAACCATCATGCCATAAAAGAGTTTTTCCTTGAAATATGTGTACCTATGGGGAGTAATTAATCATAAAAGCTTGGGGATTTCAGCTCTCTCATCAAAGCATTGAAGCCGGCGAAAGCTGAGCCTAAAAGCTGTGCTGATTACCCGGGGTAACCTGAGACAAAATCTATGGTTGCCGAGAGATCCTCTGCCCCAGTATATTGTACAGTATTATAACTGCCTGATCTTCTCTTCCACTGACAATGACCAGTTATTCCTCATTTTCTCTCAAACGCAGCTGGGTTAGAATTTCATTTGCAGAAGGTATTTAGAGCAATTTAGAGACAAATGTCTCTGGTGTTTGCTCGGCACTTCCCCACCGCAGGCTTTGCTGAGCAGTTTTAGTATCAGGAGCTCCATCTAATCTGTTTAATTTTAATAAATCCCTGACTGGGAGAGGGAGAGAAAAAAAGAGAGAGAAACTCTGGACCAAATAATACTTCTTTTGAGTTAGTTGGCTAATAATTACTGCGGAGAGGAAACTGTTTTGTGCAATTACTATTTGTTGCTCCTTTAAAAACAGTGCGAAACAAAACCAATCGATGAGTTAATCCAGCGAAGAGTGCTTGCCCTATGCCATGCCCCGTTCTGGGCTCCGGGGACCCCGCAGAGAAGAGGGCAGACAGCGTCCCTGCCCTCCCCGGGCTTACATTCTAATGGGGAAAGCTAGACAGTTAACCAGCAGGAAAACGAGAGCCATGGTATTTCGAGTGGCAGGTGCCACGGAGAAAACTAATGCGGGGCGCACAGGGTTGAGGAGCCCCAGTGCTGGGGTGGGAACGGGTTGCACGCCTAGCCAGGGCCGCTCAAGTAGGCCTCTCTGAGAGCGTGGCGTGAGCACACGCCTGAGGGAGATGAGTTTGTCGGTGTGGAGTGGGCACAGTTCCTCCTCGACCCCTAATGTGGGCGAGTCTTTAGAATTTCAGGCAGCAGGAACCCCGAGGGGCCTCCTACCCTTCTTCCTCTGAAGAGAGCTACAGGAGTCTACCCTGAGCCTCAGTCCAGAATCTCTGGACGTAATCACCCATCTCCATTATCCTGTAAAATGCTGCTTCAGTCAGTAATTATCTGTTTCCGAGTTGAATCCCAGTAGGGTAAGTTCTGGCAGGACCTTTTCTGGGCAGAGGATTCCAAGGTTTGATTGGCATCTGGGCAAGAAGAGCCCCTTCGTGAATTTACACTTCACTTTTTGAATTTCCGGCTGTTCCTTGGGTCAGGTGTACATGGTTTGCGGAGTTTGGCGCCAGCTCCCTCATCCCCTGATGGGGTGAGGGAGGAGGGACTTTTGCAAAGGAGTGAGCCTCTCCCCTGTTCCTAACTGTTCTTGGGAAGGAAAGAGAGTTGGCTGGCTGGTCTGTGGGGGCAGGGAGAGGGTCCTGAGGGGAGGGACCAAGGTTCTGGCATGCTCCGCACGCCTCCCCTCCCCGCAGGAGTGTCCCCACAGGACTGGCTGCAGGGGTGGGTATGGAGCACCGGCTTTGGGCGAGCTCGCAGCTACTGTAGTCTTGGCTTTTCCTAGCAAATGTCACTTCAGGGAATTGCAGTGCAGCACTGCCTTGAATTATAATCTTGACTTTCTTTTTTTTAATAAACATCTCTTTCCTGAAAAGGCAAATCCAATTTTGTTTTTCTTTTAATATTATTTAATATTTAATATAGAAATTGAGGTCCCTGTAGTGCATGTCAGTTCAGTGGAAAATGAGGGTTACTTTAGGCACATCAGCTGAGTTTGTTTTAATGTGAAACCACAGCCCGGAGCAGGGCTGCAGCCTGCCTCTGTTACCGACAGGTTAAATGTTGTGCTCTCTCATTCGGGGGGCTGGGGAGACTGGGGGCGGGCTAGTGGGCAGTGAATGGGAGAGACAGGCAAGAGCATTGGTTTGCGAAGATCTGTGTCGGTGGGGGCTTTTTTGTTTGTTTTTTGTTTTTTTGAGTTCTCTTTTGGATGCTTCAAAGTCTGAATATGGAGTCATTAATGAGAAACATGAAGTTATTGGAATCATTTATCATTTTCCTTGAAGTCTGTACTGCCATTTTGTGTAATTTACAACATTTCTTTGTTTTATCGAGAATTTTTTGGATGAAAGAGAAAAGCAGCTGTTCACCTTAGGACTATTAGAATAAATGTTTTTGTTTTCCTTCCAACCACTTGATTCTGCAGATGGCACATCAACCGTGTAGTCAGCCGCGCATGAGCATCACTGGACTGTGCGTGGGGTTTAAGCCCTCCTGGAACCGGACTGTGTACAGAGGCAGTTCTCACCAGGCAGGCATCATGTCTGGCCTTTAAGTGGGCTGCAGTCCAGGACGTTAGAGTAGCTTAAAAACAGCAGTAGAATCGGTCCAGAAAGTTAGAGGCTTGGACAGCGTTGTCAATAGGCTTCTGTTGATTTGACACCCTATCCAACCACAAAATGTAGGAGGCAGGCTGCTTCTAAACATGTTGGCAGGCTGAGTGTAAGGTGGGTAAAAGTGATGCCTGTTTGGGGGCGGGCGGGGGGCAGGGGCGAGGGGAGTAGGTGAGGCGGAGGGGAAGATAGCGTTGTCTGTTAGCTTACTTTAATGTATCTATTGCAAAGCAGGTTTCTAGAAAAACGATGAGCATCATATGCTTCTCTGTATAGTCCTGCATAATGGGGTCTGGGTGGTGTTGGCCGAGACTTTTGCTTATTGTGCCTTTCTCAAGTGTGTAAGTTAAGGGCTGTGTTCTTGCTCATCTAATACGTAGTCCAGGGGGAAAAGGAAAACCAAACAAACGGGACACATCACCATCCTTTCTCATTCTAAAAGGTGAAACGAGATCTTATCTTTCTTCTGTTCCTGGAAGCAGAACCCCGGTAGCAAAGCCGCCTCCTTGCTGGAAATGAACTTGAGGAAGAAACCTGATGGTCTCAACCTTGGTAGTGGGGTAGAGGTGAAGGGCTGCTCTCACTGGAGTATTTCAAGGGGGAGTAAATTCTTAACGCAGATTTCAATTTAACTCTCTTTTATTACTTTTCTTTTTTATCATTTACGTCCATTTCATGAGGTAGTTTGCATGTCCTTGAATGGAATCTCGTTACCATGAAAGCTTTTTTAGCATTGATTTCATAACAGTCTTAATTTAATAGCTCCGTCATTACTGAGAAGCTCTGGGAGTGGGGCCCTGGCTTTCCAGGTCACTGACCTTTTAATTACAAACCTTGTTCTGATGGCCAGGTTATCGACTGGACAGCTCCCAGCTTGTGCCCCCAGGATGAGAATGAAAATAACTGTGTTTCCTCCCCCATCTCCAGGAAAAAAAAAAAATTGTAACCTCATGTGTTTCTAAAATTAATTTTCTCCTTCAGCTTTACTTTATAATTAATTCTTTAATGTGTCTTAGTGAAGCCAGAAGTCTTTTTATAACGCTGTTTTTTTTCTAGAGCTTGGGTCCAGCAGAGAGCTTGGAGGGGGCAGGGAAGGGAGATCCCATGGTTGGCTGTGGCCCATTTCCTCACCCTCAAAAACTCCTGTGGCTGAGCTGGAAGGAAGGGTATTGGCTCTGTGAGGGGCTGTCTGGCCCTTCTGATTCTTTGTTAATGAGATGCGGATTGTGGCACCAGAGTTTTAGATTCATTCCTGCATTTGCTGGAGTAATTGTGCCTTCTCTGACATGGATGTTTTATTTCTTTTAAAAAATATATCTTATTTTATTTCTTTATATTTTTTTAAGTCATCTCTACCCCCAAAGTGGGGCTCAGATCCACAGCCCCCAGGTCAAGAGTCGCATGCTCCACAGTCTGATCCCGCCAGGAGCCCCGAAGGTGGACGTTTTAAAAAGGTGCTCCCCTTTTGGGCAAAGATAAGGGTTGGGTGATTTTTTTTTTTTTTTTTATTACTGTCTTATCTGTTAGTCTTAGATGACTGGGAGAAACCAAATACCCTACC